TCTTTTAAGTTTTTCTACAATTCATAATTGCCCTACTTCAAAAATTTTCTGTCTCATAATGTTGTTAATGTCTCTCAAAGCATTTTATTTTTTGCCTGGTCAAACCTATTAGATAATCTGCAGGTTCCATTTTTCCTTCTTGGAGACATCCTTCTGGGGACACTTTTGTCTTCATTTCCATCTGGAGTGACGGCTCATGGGGCCTGCTACATGATAATTGTCTTGGAATGTCCTTTTGCTGGCATCCAGGGAATTCCATTGGCCGCTTTCCTATCTTGGATCCCCTGTTTCCTAGAACCTGTATTGTTGTTTTTTCTTGGTTTATTCCCCTCTTTTGTGAAAGCACATATCCCAGTAATGGGATATGATATGTGAGGGTAAAATGTCGGATCTTTGTATCCAAAAATACCTTTTTTCCTATTCTTATATTTGATTAATGTAGAATTCCCTGCCCAGAAAAATTATTAAAAATAATTTTCCTTAATAATTTTGACAGCAGAGGGCTGGCCAGTTAGCTTGGTTGGTTAGAGCACAGCCTTATAACCCCAAGGCCACGGGTTTGGATCCCTGTACCAGCCAGCCACGAAAAAAAAATTTTTTTGACAGCAAAGTTTCATTGCTTCATTGTCAGTGTTGAGAAATCCAATATCCTAATAACCAATGTTTTTCTATATCACTTATACTTTCTGGAAGTTTTTCAAATTTTATTTTAACCCTAATGTTCTAAAATGTCACTAGCATGAATGTTTTTCATTTATCATGCTGGGCAGTCTGTGGAATCTTATAATATGGAGCCCATGTCATTCATTTCTGGAACTGTTTTGGTGTTAATTTCTTTAGAAATCTCTACACTATTTGCTCTATCAGGAATTCCTGTTATTCAGATTCTGGACCTTCTGTATTTCTATATTTCTGGATTCTCCTGTATTTATGTCTTTTCTTTTCCATGTTTATATGTTAGACTTCTGTTACTTTTTGTTTTTTTCCATTCTCTCTGTTTCCTCTGAGTTTCTTTTTTTTCCCCTGCATATGTGTACATGTTGTTTGTTTGGGGCTGTCTTATATTATAATGAGAGACAGTGAGAGATAACATGTAAAGTCAGATCAACAGTACCCGGCATGTAGTACGTCTTGATAATTGAGAGCTATAATTGTCATTTCATGTTGGCAGTTTTCCTCGAATGGCAATCCTTGTTTGTCCATTCATATTTTAAGAGTGAGGCTGATTAGACATCTGCGGTACAATCTACTTTGCTGGAGAAAGTGCCGTTGTAAAGCAGTGAGATGACCAGCTAAGTTTTTAACTAGATAACTTCAAATATCAATTTCTGTAGATCCTTTGTGTTGGGTCAGTTCAGATTTTTTGGAAAAGGATCTTCAGACAACACTGTGGGGCTATAAATCTGGCTGCTGGTTCTGACATGGGCAAGGGAAGGAGACTGAGGAACTGCACACACCATGCTCATACGTGGATTTTACCCTGTCTTCCTGACAGGGTTGATTTTATGGTTGTCCGCAAACCTGGAGCTTCTCTTCCTTCCCTGGTTCAGTTTCACCAGAGAGCAGATTTCTGGTATTCTGGTTGGGTGGGTAGACTGCATGCGAGGTCTTAAATACTTTTTATGCAGATTTTCATATAATTCCTGTGTTTTCAGTTCCCTGTCTTGGCTCAGCTTTCTGTAGTTCAGCACTTTGATGCCTCCATTCTTTCTGAGTCTGGAGCTCCATTAGGCAGATATGCATGCCTCTCATTAGTGACCTCTCGGCAAAAGGTTAATTTTTATTTTATCTCCTCTACTAGATCATTTACCACTCTCCATCCATCTTCTTTCTTCAAAAACTGTTGTTCTAGACTATAGGTAGGGGCTGGCCGGTTAGCTCAGTTGGTTAGAACACAGTGTTATAATACCAAGGTCAAAAGTTCAGATCCCCATATCGGCCAGCCACCAAAAAACAAACAAACGATTACAGGTAATCAAATATCTATTAGTTTATACTCATATAAATAAATACTTGAATTACTCAATAAATGGATGAAAATAGACAAGTCTCTGGTGCAGAAGAATTCCAAATAATTTATGTTATTAAATTAAATTACCTTAAAGAGGGTGGAATATAACTCCCCACTCATTAGGTGTGAGCTGTGTATAGTGACTTCTTCCCAAACAGTATGGTTTGAAAGGTTGGGGGTGGAGAGTAATTTTATAGTGGAAAAGCTTTCAAACACTTTCTCAAACCAGGAGACCAAGGTTAACATCCACAGATATGAGTCATATGTGATAGTGTGTCTCCTTGACAGGATGTGATGAGAAGAGCCCTTTACCTCTGTGGTCATCCTCCCAACACACATTACCCCAGGCTAAACATGAGAAAAACTCAGACAAATCCCAGTTGAAGGACATTTTGTAAAACACGGGGCCAGTAATCCTCGAAACGGTTCTTAATAATAGGAGAGGAGTGTGGGATATATAGAACTCTCTGTAGTATCTTCTCAGTAATTCTGTAAATCTAAAACTGTTCTAAAATTTAAAGTTTATTTTTAAAAAATTAGCTAAAACTTATCCTTTTTATTAGTCAAATGAATTATAAAACTTGGACCATTTATTTTGGGAATCCCTGATAATTTGAATCTTTGTAGGGATTTATAATATTTAGTGCATCAGCCAGAGCTGACACAGAGACCCAAGTTGAGTGGACTTTTTCTTCTTTGGTAATAAAATTTGCATACACCAGGACCTCCAAAATATAACTTTCCTTGAATATCTCATATCAGCATGAACACCTCTCTTTATGTGGAACCACACTGAAGCTTACGGCCTGAGATAATATTGGTAGCTTAAATACCTCTTCAAAAATAAAGACCGATCCTCTTGCGGTAAATTCTCTGCAGTACTTCCAGAATAGGCTGGGTTAGGCTGGCTGGTTAGCTCAGTTGGTTAGAGCCTGGTGCTGATAATACGAAGGTCAAGGGTTTGAATCCCCATACTGGCCAGCTGCCAAAAAAAGAGAAAAGAATAGGCTGGGCAAGAAAAGATTACAGATAATCTCCTAGTTTCTTTGACCCTGGAGTTTGTGCTTCTGTTTCTTGTTCTTGTTTTTTTCCAGGGGAGGAAGTATTGCTTCACCATCTTGAAATTGTAAATCTATAAATGGTTGCTTTCCCCAGCTTTGGAGATTCCCAGTATGATAACCAGAAACACCCATATTTTTTCAGAAATAGACTGTAACTAAGAAAAAGACAATATTTTCTGTTAGCCATTTTTTTTTTTTCCTTTTTGTCTTTTTTCGTGTCCGGAAACGGATCGCAACCCTCAGTGTTGCGCCCATACCGGACCGGGACCGGCAACGGGATCACAACCCTCGGTGTTGCTCCCACACCTCGCTCAGCCAGTGAGCGGGAACCGGTCTGTATGTGGGATCCAAACCCTCGGCGGGAGCGCCACCGTGCTCCCAAGCGGCGCACTGTAGCAGTGCGCCACCGGGCCGGCCCAGTTAGCCATTTTTTATACATCCAAAATTTTCTTAGTATTCTTGTGTAAATTGGGTCTGTGTCTTTTGGAAATGGTTCTATAATAGAACCTTTTCTTTGTTCCCACTATTCAGAATATCTCAGTGAATCATTTTTCTTTTGTCCATAATATTTATCTGCTTCTATTCTGTTCATTTCCATGATCCCAAATGGTTTTTCTGTAATTTATTCTATTAGCTTGGCATTTGAAAATATTAGTCTCCCCTGTAAATTTGGAAATTTCAAAATATATTTGCTTGGGCTGACCCGTGGCTCACTTGGGAGAGTGTAGTGCTGATGGCACTGAGGCCACGGGTTCAGATCCCCATATAGGGATGGCTGGTTTGCTCACTTGGGAGAGCGTGACAACACCAAGTCAAGGGTTAAGATCCCCTTACTGGTCATCTATTAAGAAAAAAAAAATACATTTGCTTGTCTAAGTTAGCATATACTATAACAGTATGTAAATAATAAATAACAAATTTATTGGGCACTTACTATGGATCGGTGCTTTGCATGTATTTATTTACAACTACCCTATAAGTAAGTGCCACTATAATATATATTTAACAAATGAGAAAACTAAAGCATGGAGATGAAGTAACTGGCCCAGGTTATACCAAGTGACAGAGCTAGTCAAACTCATGCTGTCTGGCTTCAGCCTTTCATCCTGAATATCTTTACTGCTTTTCAGTTTTTATTCAGGCTGGCCAGTTAGCTCAGTTGGTTAGAGCTTAGTGTTATAACACCAAAGTCAACGGTTCAGATCCCTGTATCTGTCAGCTGCCCACCCCATTAATTAACTAATTAATTTTAAAAAATTAAATTTAATTAAAAATTATTTATCTAATTTAAAGTTAAAATTGATTAATTAATTAATTTTTATTCAATATGTCTTACTAGAAATTGTTCAAGGTATTCCTTTAATGATAATTATCTAGAAGTCCAGATTTCATTGACACATACCACATTGCCAGTTGAGTTAAACAAAATTTTTCTCGCACAAGATACAGGAATGAACAACAGGTAAAGATAAAGTTGGGGAAGTAACTGTCCTTATATAAAATTGGATGTTAACTTATATATCAAGAGGACTTTTGGTAATGAGTAAAATTAATCGTTTATTTGAATGTGGAGGCTTTTATTTCTAGTTAGATGTCTATTTACTCTAAAAGTACCCCAATAAGTTATTTATCTTATTTCTTCTGTAATATAAAATTCTTAAAGGCAGAATACTTTTTTAAAAAGTCTTTGTATTCCTAACAGCACTTAGCATGGTTCGGAACAAAGCCCATATTTACTATAATCCTTTCTGGGATAAAGTGGGGCATATAATAGTGATTTAGCATTTGTTGAGTGACGAACTGTTTGATCTTATATAATTCCCATTAAGATACTGTTGACAGATGAAAGACTTCGTGTAAATATATTCAGTGACTTCTTTTTACTTTTAGATTAAGAATCTGAAATTTTTTCCATGTCTTTTCTACAGAATACTTCAAACTTTGTGCAGAAAACTGAGACTTCCTGAAACCTTTAATTTTTGTCACTTAGCTCACCTAACGCCAGGTTTTGTTGGTGCTGATCTGATGGCCCTCTGCCGAGAGGCAGCCATGTGTGCAGTCAATAGGGTCTTAATGAAGTTACAGGAGCAGCAGAAGAAAAATCCTGAGGTTGAAGGTTTGCTGTCTGAAGGAGGCCAGGAGGAGAGGCTGGGGACTGAGCTCACTTCTGAAACTCAGGTGCTTTCTGTAAAGTCACCTTAGACTGTCTTCTAAATGTTCTTTATGTTATCTTACATTCAAACAAGTGTCAATATAGTTGAGATTTATGAGTTCCTGTTTTATTGGCATTTTATCTATAGAATAATTATTAGTTATATCCAAAATGTCTATAATTTCAAAAATACAAATTGGTTTTTGGGTTTTTTTTTTTTAGTTCATTCTGAATAAATTCATTTTACAATAATAGTTATGAAATTCTAGAGTGGTGTTGGCAGACTGTGTCCTACCTGCCCACTACCTGTTTTTGTACTGAAACACAGGTGGCCAGCTGCAAAAGAAAAAAAAAAAAGGATTAAAAAAGAAGAAACACGGTCATGCTCTTTTTTTTACTTATTGTCTGTTTCTGCTTTTGTGCTTCACAACAGAGTTCACACAGGAGTCCTTGCAGCAGAAACTGTATGGCCCGATGTTTACTATCTGGTTCTTCAAAGAAAAAGTTTGCCAACTCTTGTTAGAGCATTGGCATTTCATTATATTTTTTGGTTAACTTTTGTTTAGGCAGACTAGGATAGTCTGCTGATACAACCAAATCCTTGAACCTAGTTGCAAACAACTCATCCTTTGAATGTGAGAAGGATGTTATAGGTCCAAGATCAATGTTAAATTTTTTAGTTTTGTGAGTCATGAATACTCAATTATAGCATGCATATAGTATTTTATAGTTCACACAGGTAGCTTCTGTATATTATATTAATTGATCAATATAACCTTGTGTGATAAATATCATTATTTTCCCATTTTATAATCAAAGACACTAAGCTTAGGAAGTTGTGACTTGCCAGAGGCCACAAGGCCCCTACTTTACACAGCAGGGACTTTAATCCACATCTGCTGTTTTCGAATCATTTGTTTTTTTCTTACTCATTTGAAATCACAATTATTTCTGTTAAAAATAATTATACTAAAAACTCGCTCCTTTTATAATATTGCATGTAAGTTAGGATTTTATAAATTGAATTATTTAGAATTACTTTTTTTATGGTAGCATTTATTTGTACACAGAATTACTTATTTTTTACACCTATCCTTTCATGTTCTTTACAAAGCAGGAAATCTGCTTTTGAAGTTCAAGATTCAATAACAGTAGGAAAATTGCTTATTCTTTACTTAGTTGATAAACCATCAAGGAACCATATAATGAAATTATACTGCCACCAGAGTAACATTGTTTTAATTTAATCAAAATTCACTTGCCTCTAGGGCTGGTCCGTGGCTCACTTGGGAGAGTGTGGTGCTGATAACACCAAGGCCATGGGTTCGGATCCCTATGTAGGGATGGCCGGTTAGCTCACTTGGGAGAGCGTGGTGCTGACAAAACCAAGTCAAGGTTAAGATCCCCTTACATGTCATCTTTAAAAAAAAAAAAAAAAAAAATTCACTTGCCTCTTGAATATTTATAAAAGAAGCATGGGAAACATGGTTGTTGAAATGAATTTGCTGACTGCTTATGTTTGCTATATCTAGTTCTACTATAGTATACAGAAATCATTCTTATATATTTAATTGCAATTGGTGTATATTTACTTGGTGAAAGCTTATGATCCATTTAGAATAGAATGAACATAGGTCTCATGTCAAAAAGAAAATTATTAAAATACATAAACAGTTCACTGTACCTTACAGAAATATTGCAGTATTGATTTTTAAAAGTACAAAATGAAACTTTTCACCAACTTTGTGGTTTTAAATTTTTTTCTCTCAATTGTTTCTTTTAAGGATGAATTGCAAAGGCTGCTGGGGTTGCTAAGAGACCAAGATACCCTCTCAGAGGAGCAGATGCAAGGACTGTGCATTGAATTGAATGATTTCATTGTTGCTCTATCCTCAGTCCAACCCTCTGCCAAAAGGGAAGGCTTTGTCACTGTCCCTAATGTGACATGGGCAGATATTGGTGCCCTGGAAGATATTAGAGAGGAGCTGACCATGGCAATATTGGTAGGTAGATCAGCTGCTAAATGTTATTGGCATATGCAATGGGTTAAGGACCAGGGACAAAGCTACATGCATGTGTACCAAGCTGTATGTCTAAACTGACTTACCTCCAACAATGGTTTTACATTCTTTTGATGTCTGTTTTATACTGTTTCTTTAGGTTATGCTTCATTTCTATAGCAGCGAGTTAAAAAAAAAAAAAAGTTCGGATTTTGACCAAGACTAAATTGTTTGGCAACCACTTTCTTTTTTTTTCTTCTCTTTAAAAATTTTTTTTTATTACTAAATTTATCATTACACAATGTAATCATTTTTTGTGGCCCTTTACCAATTTCTCACTAACCTCCCCACCTTCCCACCTCTTGTGGCCTCAGTTCCATACTGTCCTTTTGAGAGTTCAGTGAATTACATTGTGTTGTTCTTTCTTTCGTCCTTTCTTTCTCTTTCTTTTTTGCTCCCACTTATGAGTGAGGACATGTGGTATCTCTTTCTGTGCCTGGCTTATTTCACTTAACATAATTTTCTCTTCTCTAAGTTCATCCATGTTGCTGCAAGCGGCAAAATTTCATTTCTTTTTATAGCTGAGTAGTGTTCCCTTGTGTATATATATCACACTTTCTTTGTCCAGCCATCTGTCAATGGACATTTAGGTTGGTTCCAACTCGTAGCTATTGTAAATAGAGCTATGATAAACAGATATCCCTTCGACATGATGATTTCCATTCTTTTTGGTATACACCCAACAGGGATTGTTGGATTAGGTAGCACTTCTATCTGTAGTTGTTTGAAGAACCTCCATACTGTTTTCCATAATGGCTGCACCAATTTACAGTCCCACTGTAAAGACAAGGGTTCCCCTTTCTCTGCATCCTCACCAGCATTTGTTATTCTGTCTTTTTGTTTTTTTGGATGAACCGCTGCTATTTATTATATAAAAAACATTTTTTTTTTCCTTTTTGTCTTTTTTCATGAACGGCAACGGATCGCAACCCTCAGTGTCGCGCCCGTACCGGACCAGGACCGGCAACGGGATCGCAACCCTCAGTGCTGCTCCCACACCTCGCTCAGCCAGTGAGCGGGAACCGGTCTGTATGTGGGATCCGAACCCTCGGCGGGAGCGCCACCACCCTCCCAAGCGGCGCACTGTAGCAGTGCGCCACCGGGCCGGCCCTAAAAAACATTTTTGATAAAAATGTGCACAATTAACTATTCCGTTCTTACTCTACATGTGCATTTGTTTCAGCCTCACCAACTTTTTTTTTTTTTTTTCCTTTTTGTCTTTTTTCATGAACGGCAACGGATCGCAACCCTCAGTGTCGCGCCCGTACCGGACCAGGACCGGCAACGGGATCGCAACCCTCAGTGCTGCTCCCACACCTCGCTCAGCCAGTGAGCGGGAACCGGTCTGTATGTGGGATCCGAACCCTCGGCGGGAGCGCCACCACCCTCCCAAGCGGCGCACTGTTGCAGTGCCCCACCGGGCCCGCCCC